GAATTCAGGGACCTTATAACCCCCTTTCGCAGCCCTGTGGCTGGAAAGTTTAAAATAGGAGGATCAAAGCTGTACGGTTACGATTTGTGCACTTTCAGTCTCTATGTGTCCCTCATTGACAAGTTTTACAGGAAGAGAAAGAGCATCAGGAGTTAAAGGAAAAATGTAAATCATTACCTATCACCAGATCTAGAACAAGCTCCTCTTAACCTCAGTCTGAGTCAGGGGCCACTTCCAAGGGCCCCCATGGGCCCCCGTCTTACTCTAGCTTATATGCTGACATGTCTGTCTCACCCATGAGACCTGTCCTGTCCAATACTAGCCACCAGCCCCATGTAGCTATTTAAATTTAAATAAATTTAGCCCAGCTGGTGTAGCTCAGCAGTTGAGCATCGACCCAGGAACCAAGAGGCCACAGGCTCGATTCCCAGTCAGGGCACATGTCCAGGTTGCAGGCTCGATCCCCTGTGGGGGGCGTGGAGGAGGCAGCTGATCGATGACATTTCTCTCTCATCGATATTTCTATGTCTCCCTCTCCTTTCCTCTCTCTCTCTCTAAAATATCAATAAAAACATATCGCTTAAAAATAAAATAAAAAATAAATAAATTTAAATGAAGTTAAAAACTCACTTCCTCAGTTGGGCTAGCCACATTTCAAGTGCTCAACACCCACATGGGGCTTGTGGAGACGGTGCAGATACTATTTCCACAGCGCAGAAAGCTCTAGTCGAGCACAACTCTTCACGGAGCTATGAGCTCCAGGAAGGCAGAGACCGAGTCTTTGTGGCCTGGCACTGCATCCCTGGCCCCACAGGCCCAGCTCTGATGCTAAATACCTACCAGCTGATTGAATTAATTAATGCACACCCCCCCACACTGCATCAGGCCCCCAAACAGCTCTGGTACCCGCGTCTTCCTTACTCGCCTGCCTCCAGGGCCTAACCCAGGGCTCATGGTCTCTTTCCTCCCTCCAAACCATATCTGGTCTGTGACTCAGGGTCCCAGAGGCATTGTAAATGTGTGTGTGTGTGTGTGTGTGTGTGTGTGTGTGTGTTGGGGAGTAGGAGTAGAGCAAGGATTGGTAGGGCAGGAGGTGATTCCAGGCCATAAGAAGTTCAAGTTTGAGCCTCTGGCAATGGCTGCTCCCACCTATGCAGTGGGCGGGGACCTAGGCTTTGGTTGAATTCTGGTTGTGTTTCCTCCCAGCTGTGTGACCTTGGGCAAGCAACGTAACCTCTGTGAACCCACTGTATGTGTTGTTTCCTCCTTGTGATATATGGATAACAATACCGACTTCACATATGTAGTGAGTACATTAATAAGAGGTCTGGGGCTCCGTCGAAACTCACTTATTGCTCATTCCTTTCTCTACATAGAAGGCAGTAAAATTCCTTCCTCAAACATCATTGAGATCACAGCTCTGAGACACCTGCATGCTTCCCACTTATCCTACACAGGAGGCTAAATATAACTCCTGACAGCTCATCTTGCCTTAAAGCAAGAGGCTTGTCATTGCTTCCACTGCTCTTAAAAGCACTTGGCTCACCTTCCATCTGCCAGCCAGCTAAGTTTGTTTGGTTTCTCTTCCCCACCTTCCTATCATCGTACATGCCTGAAATGCCTTTCCTGCCCTCTCTTTCCAAAAAGAGGCCCTACCTTCTCAGAAGCAGATTTGTTCATAACACTCACTTCCTTCCTTAAGCCTGGTTGACTCAACTTTCCCAGTTTTAAGATTGCTGATTACTAAAAAATATATCATGCCTGTTTCAGCCTTCACCCACCCCTTTCCGCTTCTCTTCGTGGCTATGATGTAAGACCATTCCTGGCCTATCTGCACCTGTTGGCACCTGTCTTCCCGGGTAGCTGGCTGCACACATGAGTGTGTATAGAGCAGGAAGCAAAAGCAGGTGGTGACCAAAAAAGGCTGTTGGTGATCTGGGAGGGCTGGACCAGACCAGACATAGGTCCCAATTGGTCACTATGTTGGTGACATTTAGCAAGTTACTTAATCTTTCTGAGTCTCAATTTCCTTGCATATTTGTCACAAAAATTGGAAAATTACTACTATTACTATTTACTGAGCCCTCACTCAGTGTAGGCACTGTTCTAAGCACTTTACATACATTATTTTACTTCCTCTTCACTCCAACCCTAGCAGGTAGGTATTATTAAAAGGTGTGGAAGCCCTACCTGGTTTGGCTCAGTAGATAGAGCTTCAGCCTGCGGACTGAAGGGTCCCAGGTTCGATTCAGGTCAGGGGCACATGCCAATAAGGGGTGTGCAGGAGGCAGCCGATCAATGATTCTCTCTCATCACTGATGTTTCTATCTCTCTCTCCCTCTTCCTCTCTGAAATCAATAAAAAATATCTTGTTTTAAAAAATGGTGTGGAATATAAAGAATTTAAAGCCATACTTTCTTACCCAAATGGGATTTATAAACATATATATGTCACATGGACATACACTTCTCAAAAATACATCACACACACATACACATTGTTACCTTGAACCCCATGAAGGCTCGACCAGGAAACCTTCCTGAACTGGTCCAGGCCACACAAATTCCCCCATCCCTAAATGCCAACAGTACTCACTATTAGGCCCAGCCAAGCCAGCCCTCACCCGCTGTGGTGTTTTGTTCATTCTTTCAAGTAAGTATCCAATAACTCCTAAGAACTAGGGCTAGGTATCCAAGAGTCAAGACCAAATATATTGCCCCTGTCCTCCAGGAACTCTGAATCTGATAGGAAAGGCTGGTGTACAAACCAAGTAGGCCCAGGGTACATAAGAACTGTCTTTTTAAAAAATAAAAATAAAAATGTTTCTATTGATTTGAGAGAGAGAGGAAGGGAGAGGGATAGAGATAGAAACATCGATGAGAGAGAAACATCGATTGGCTGCCTCCTACATGCCCCCCTACAGGGGATCAAGCCCACAACCTGGGCATGTGACCTGACCAGGAACCAAACCATGACTTCCTGGTTCATAGGTCCGTGTTCAACCACTGAGCCACACCAGCTGGGCATTCTCTGATTTCTTAAGGATATAGTACATAGACCATTTTAAGATAGCTAATAATTATTACTTGTTAATAAAGTTTGCATTTTCTACCCTTTCTGCTTTCCTCCCCCATTTCTACCATGAAGAAAAGTGAGGAGGGAGGGTGTAGAAAATTTCTGCCTATAGATTTTTATTACTTTCCAAATTAAGGCCAGTTTGGGAAATAAATGTCAATAAAGAGGTCTCTTTTGGATATTAAATACTATTTGCAGTTGAACCTTCTTGGAAGTATTTTC